TGGATTTTCAGTGGTGAGGAAGAGGGTTTGAAGTCTTGCATAGGGGAGGGACACCCCTCTCCCCTCATTGTCTTGTTTCCTCGCTTTTTGGCCTCAAAGGGTAACATGCATACTTGCTTGGTTTTTGCCTTATTTCAGAACTTTTTGGGTGTTTTTGGGTCATGAGGGATCTCTGTTTTTGGCCGGATCCATGGCCCTTTGCATGCTTAGTATACTTGCTTTACATCCCCCTATATGGCCTAGGAATGTATCTCATGATTAGGCCATGATTCTTGCATGTGTTGTCTTGGTTCCATGAAGATGTTGGCTTTATTTTATCATGTTTAAAGTCTGGTGGCCCTTCATTTCAGTCATGCTTGCATGGTTTGATGTCATCCCTTTGTGTTTTGGCTTGTAAGCTTTGAGCATTTTGACCTCTAACATGTATAGCTTGAACCATCTTCATGATTTTGGCATCATTTAGGACCTTAGTTCAGCCCAAGAATCATGCTTGTATGTGTGCATGTATGGTCTCTTTCATGCCTTGAGGGTGCGTCCTTTTATGCCTACACATGAGCCTTGGTGCATATGCCTTGTTGGAGCCACTTGAGTTGCCATATTAGGAGGTTTTTGGAGTCCCTCTTTGCATGAGAAATCTTTTGTTTTTACTTGTCTTAATCATGCCATGAGTGGTCATGTGGGTGGGAGTGAAGTGCCTCCTTTTTGTGCCTTAACCTTAGGACCTTTGGTTCGCTTGTTGGCATGAGCATTGGTCCACCTTTTGGACACTTTTTGCCACTGTTTTGAGGTGGGTGAAGGACTGCCCCTTTACCATTTTAAGCCACCATTGCATGCTTGCTTCATGTTTGTTGCATGGTTGCCTCATTAGGTGTTGTAGCATGTTGATCCTATTGCTTAAAGTACCTATATTTACATTGCATTTGCACCTTGCATGCTTAGCATTGTATGCTTGCCATATTAGTTGCATGACACTTGGATGCCTTGCATCTTGTCATCATGTTGCATTTTGAGTAATGTTTGCATAACATGCATTGCATTACTTGGTTTGGGGTGTCAAACCAAGTGTGAGTGTTAAGGGGTGTTCATACCATAAGTGATGAAACACGCCTTAACTCTCGGTCGCCGGGGCCTTTGACTTCAACATGATAAGGCCTTGGCCCTCATTTGTGTGTCGCATGCATCTTTACATCAAGTGGCAAACTTGATCCCTCGGGCTATCATGTACCATTGATGGCTCGAGGATCGAGGGTCATGCTTCCCTGAGTTCAAAGCATGATGGGAAGCATGACCATGCTCACATGTGCCTGAAAATGCCATGCCGTATACTGTCTACTCTCTATTGCTGTCAAAACTGTCTTCTGCAGGAAGCTTATGCCGACCGGCAGAATTAAGTGCCGGCCGGCAATCTTTGAACGGCCGATGAACCTATGAACAGCCGGTGGAAATTCTGGACTGCCGGTGGGAATTCTGTCTAGCTGGTGGTGCTCTGCAACATGCAAGGAACCTGTTCTGGAGTTTTGGAAATTTTCAGAGAGACAGGGCAGTATAAACAGAGGTGGCAGAGGTACGGTGCGGGTTTTCCAGGCGAGCAGAGTTTCGAGCACGCATCATTCGCGCATCCCGAGGCAGAGGCTGCGGCCATCCTCTTCTTTCTTTTGCATTCTTTCTATTAATTAATTTAAAAATTCTATAATAATTTTATTTGCTTATCATTCGGACTGTAATATTTATTTGATCCCTCCGCGTGAGGGCAATTCTGTAATAAGTGTGCGTGAGTGTGTGTATGTCTTCTAACCTCACGTCTTTCTTCCCTTTTATTTACCTGCTTATGGTGGTAGACTAGGGCATTTTTAAAATTAGCATACCTTATGCTACGCATGCGTGCATTCATGCATTTGTACTGCATGCATTAGGCTCGGTACATCACGCTAACTGCATTTGTACTTCAATTCATAAATTTAATATTTGATAGTTGATCGCATTTCACATGCCATGTTTAGGTTAGCCGAGCCTATCTAGATTGCATTTTTGCATGCGACGCATTAGCCATTCTTAACATGAACTAGGACATGCATGTTTGCTAACTAGTTTACTGTTTTGGCACGGAGTACGATGTAAGTATTTATGTTTTAGCATCCCGCATGCGTGTGAGTGTTGCCATGACAGTATGCCTGCCATGCGGCTAAATGCTTACGTGAGATAAACTGTTTGAATGCCTGTGGGTGGAGGTTGGATTGCTTGAGTTGGGAAAACCCATTGAAATCCGTATTTTAGCCTACTTGCGAGTAGCAAATTCCAAAACATTTTTTTTGAAACAAACGGATATACAGTGTTTATTCCCAAATTAGGCAATCTAGTCTATACTTGTTTGTTGCGCGCATAACATAGTAATTCTAGGCTAATAATCGGTATAAGAACACATAAAATTTCAAAAACGGATATCACGGTTAGTAGAGGCCGGTCTTCGGACCGGGCGAAAGGGGGTGCTCATAGCTGACCTTCTCCGATCGTACCCAAGCTCCCGAACCGAGATAACTCCGTTAATGACGGACATGTGGCCTTCGGCACCGAGTCAGGGTTTCCTAAATTCCCCCATTAAAAAATATTTAGGTGGCGACTCTGTATCTGGCAAAGCAGTCCATGTTTGGCGCTACTTTTTTTAAAAATCTGTTTCTCAAAACGATTTGCCAGATTTGGACTCTTTGGTTCAGATTAAGAACCGTGACACAAATCGAGAGTCCAAACTGTAGCGAGGTCCTTCGCGGACTGGTTACACCCATCCATTTTGCTCAAAAACACTAAACTAAAGTCTCACAAGAAAAACAAAACTTCCTATACACACTCCAAAATATAGGTCATTATGATCAAGGCATGCTTTTCAAACTATTCCCCCTCAAGGATATTATAACAGCAAGAAAACAAAACAATCTTACAGCAACTAATCCAAGTAGTTTCCTTTCTAAAATAAGTTTTCTTGAGCAATATTTACAAACCTTTGGATGCACAATACCAAAAGAGCCTATGCATTTCCCTTTGTAAATGATTCTAGCTTGTCGCTTGTCTACCCAGAAGAAAGCTCAGACAATTGTTCCATAGGTCAATTAAAAGAGAATGTGTAGAAAAGGTAAGACTTACATTTGCACGTTGGGAATAGTAGCATACATTTATCCCCAGGTTTTAGAAATGGTGTCCCAATTTCTTTCATAACTCTGTCGAAAATACCTTAAAGTCAAATAAATGCGTTCAGGGGATGAAAATGAAAAACAGCCTTGAACCACTCTATGGATGTTACAGGCAGGTTCCTCATGACAAATAGGACCTGTGGGAACAATGGGATGTAATTAGCACACATACAGTGGGAGTTAGAGTCGAAAAAGTCTTAAACTTACTCGAAAAAGGCCGTTCGGGGGGCGAAAATGCAAAAAAGCCGCCAAACCACTTTATGGATGTCACAGGCAGCTTCCTCATGACAAATAGGACATGTGGGGACAGACAGCATGTAATTAGCACATGTAGGTTAGGATTTGGAGTAAAAAATGCCTTAACCTTAGTCGAAAAAAGGCATTTGGGGGGCGAAAATGCAAAACAGCTCCCGAACTACTATGTGGATGTCATGAGCAGGCTCCTCGTGAAAAATACAACCTATGGGGATAGACGAGATGTAATTAGCACATCTACATTGAGAGTTAGAGTCGAAAACGCCTTAAACATAGTCAAAAAAAGGTGTTTGGGAGGCAAAAATGCAAAACGACCCTTGAACCACTATGGGTGTCACGGGCAGCTTCCTCATGACAAATAGGATTTGTGGGGACAGACGGGATGTAATTAGCACACGTACATCGGGAGTTAGAGTCGAAAACGCCTTAAACTAAGTCAAAAAAAGGCGTCCGGGGGGCGAAAATGCAAAACAGCCCTCAAACCACTTTGTGTATGTCACAGGCAGCTTCCTCATGAAAAATAGGACCTGTGGGGATAGATGGGATGTAATTAGCACACGTACAGTGGGAGTTAGAGTCGAAAACGCCATAAACTTAGTCCAAAAAAGTCGTTCGGAGGGCGAGAATGCAAAACAGCTCCCAAACCACTCTATGGATGTCACGGGAAGCTTCCTCGTGACAAATAGGGCATGTGGGGATAGACGGCATGTAGTTAGCACCCGTAGGTTAGGAGTTGGAGTTGGAGTCAAAATGCCTTAAACTTAGACGAAAAAAGGCATTCGGGGGGGCGAAAATGCAAAACAGCTCCCAAACCACTCTGTGGATGTTATGGGCAGGCTCCTTGTGACCAATATACCCTGTGGGGACAAACGAGATGTAATTAGCACACGTACATTGGGAGTTAGAGTCCAAAATGCCTTAAAGTTAGTTGAAAAAAGGAGTTCGGGGGGCGAAAATGCAAAACAGCCCCTGAACCAATCTTCCAAATACACAATTCCTTCCTTTTGAATCTTGCACCTACCCACCACTGCATTAGCTTCTCAACAGATTCAGGGATTGCCCAGCTCAACTCCCACCACTTCAACACTCTAGAACAAACCCTCCAAATCAGTCAGCAGTGCAATAAGACATGGTTAACAGATTCCGTATCCATTCTGCAGAAGACACATAGAGTACTAGCATTAATGTCCAGTACTCCAGTTCTCTGCAAAAAAGCTGATGTCTCTAATATGCCTTTCTATGGTGACATTGAACCTAGATTAGACGAAGTTAATCACATGTCTTGTGTCCGTAGACATAGTTTGATTGATCAATGGTGACATTGTCTTTGTGATTATCAAGAAAAGTTGTTAATTTTTAAAGCTGAAAAACGACAATGCTCACAAGTCATTAGGTCCATTTTGAGCACTAACTTGGGAGAATAAGAGATGCCAAATCTGAATTGTTTGTTGTAGTCAAAATTGCTAAGACTGGTCACAATGCACAATGAAAACAAGTTCAGAATTAAAATCATGTGTATTAGGCTTTATGAGTATCTTATGAATACTTGAGATGATTTGGTTTTTTCATTTTTCATTTGCTAGTTTTTACAAAATAGACAATTATGCTTTTCAATCTAAAATGAGGGAGACAATACATAAAGATGGTTCTCGAATGTTCATGTGTTATTTTCTTAACATTTAGTGCTATGCTACATGATGTCCTTGGTAGATTATTTGCAACCTTGTTAAGTTATGGTTTCATGCTGCAGGCTGTTAAGGCTGCTAAGACTGCAGCAAAGAGCATTGCGGATATGCAGAACGTGGTTAAGGAGGACTTAGAATCTTTGAAGGAGGATGATATGGAAAGATCTGCAGTTCAAGGAGAAAGTGAAGATGAGAATGATAAACGGCGTAAGGCTGCTTTGGATAAATTGGAGAAGGCTAGTGAAGATACAATCCTTGGCCAGGCATGTCACAAATATGAGAATTTAAATAAATTGTATCTTGGGTTTTTCTTTTCTTGGATTTCAGAGGTGCATAATTTCCTTATTCATACCCTCCATATTTGTTTACAGAGGTCATTCGTCCTTTAAACTCTCTCTCCTTAAACTTGTGTTGGTCCCGTCAATCCATGATTCTGGGAGGATGGACTGTGTACTGAATTGGGCTTTACTTTTTTTTTTTCCTGTCCTCAAATTTCTATCTCATTCTTTTTTGAGTTAAAAATTAAAATGGGGCACTAGTTCTACCTCCGACTACGCAACCTACCTCTTTTTCTGCTACTCTTTATTCTCTTGGATCTTATGACTAAATTTGTTTGGTAATTGTTTCTTGGGGTTACTGTCTAAAATATTGTATGTGATGGTTATGGGTTGCATTTGACAAATTCTTGGGGTGTACTTTCGTTTAGTTGAGTTGCTTTAATTCATTTCAAAGTGTCAGTTTTACTTATTTATTATTAAGCCCTTTTTGGTGCAGCTTATGGTGGTGTTTATGGTTTTTCTCTTCTTTTTTTATTTTGAGAGTTTGTGCTAGTGTGTTTGGTGTAGTTTTTTTTTGTTTACAATTTATAAGAAAAAAAAATGACTTAATAAATTGATTATTGGGAAGGTGAAAGGGTGTGTGAAGATTATTGACTTTTAGCTTTGCCAGAAGCTGCAGCTACACCAAAGGGGGCCTTAATAATGAGTTCTACTTACTTCTCAATTTTTGCAGGGTTTAAAGGTTCTTGATAGTTCTGTGGAGAATTTTGCTTCAAGGCATGGCAGGCATTAGGAAGTGCGTTAAAAGGGGGTTCTGATTTTGTTCAAAAGTATGACTTCATTGCTACTCAACTTTTTAAAATATACTCTTTTTATAATTAATTATTCTCATGAAAACAACATTCGTTATACACAAATTGAAGTGCATGGCAGATGAGACTTCAGATTCTTTATTAGTGTACTTTCTCAAGAAGTTAATGATTATGCGTACTTGTGTTTAGAATGGCAAGGGTCAAGGTTTTTATACTTCATATTGATATCTTTGGAACTGCACTTTTGGGAGTAAATTTAGTGTTCACTGCTTGGTATTACATCATTTAAATGATTGGATGACAAAGTGATGTCCTGGAAGATAATTTTGATGGTACAATACTTGTCAGAATGTTATGGGGTATATCCATAAATGTTTAGAAACCGTTAAGTATATAAATATAATTACTTTTAGATATAATCAAAGAGTAGTGAGTGGCTACTCTTTCACTGTTATTGTTGCAACTTGTTTTCAAAGTGGTAGAACTTTTAATGTTGTAGGTGAGGCAGTAGGAATCCTTTGATTTTCAATTAACATCCAAAGAAACTTCCAGAATCAAGGAAATTTAAAAAATACTGAATATATGAAAGTTGGATGTGCAAACTTGTAGATGGCCGTTGACCAATTATTGTGGTAGACTACGGCTGATGGGGTCACAATCACTTATTTCTTGCCCGGAAGGTCCTAAATTTTTTTCTGCTAATTAAATGATTTTTGTCTCTTGTGTTTTCCAGGCTTGAGAATTCTGCTGTAAATATTACTGAATCTATTCAACAGGGAGGGTATACCGTCAGCTGGTTCTGTTGCCCCATCCTTACTAGAGGTATTCATGACACTTATCATCTTATTAATTGCTCAAAGTAACTTATTTTTGTGCCATTGTTTTATAGAGTGGAAAAGCTTTTACTGCAAAGGGAATGCAAGTGCTTGAGCCTGTAGGCAAGGAGACCATGGATCTTCTGATAACAGAAACTGGTATTGAAGTTGATAAGAAGGGAGCTCAAGCACAAGATGATGAGGATCAATTGTTTGAAGAAGTGACATTTGATAGATGCTTCTACATATATGGAGGTCCAGAACAGTTGGAGGTCACCTTCTTTATCTTCTTGGTTGAATGTCTTTCGATTCAATGCCATCTGGAATGATAGTTTTGGCTTAAGATTCTAAATTGCTATCATTTGCCGGAATTGGAGTCTTTGTCCAACCACTATGCTTTGTTATTTAACCAAAGAAAAGCGAAGCAATTATCTGAATAGAAGTCCTTTTATGACGGAAAGCTAAAACAGGTGCAACAAATTTTCAGTTCAAGTTCTAAAATTGATGGTAGTGCCACAAGATTAGAAAAAGGAAAGAAAATAGAGACTGGAGTCTGAAGCTAAGGGGAGTGCTGATGAGATGAAGAATTATAGCGATCCCGGTTTTTCCTTCCTTTGTATACTGTATTCTAGACTTGATTCCGTGGACTTGTTTTTGTATCATTATCGCTTCTAGCCTTTACTCTTTGTATTTGAGTCTTGGGTTGTGATGGGCAGGTTTAAAACAGGTTGGTTGCACTTTGAAACCAAAAGGTGATGCCCAGATTTTGGCCTTCACGCTCGAGCGGAAGTTTTAACGCTCGAGCGGGCCCTTCGTTGTTGCTTCTCCGCTCGAGCAGGAGTTTTGACGCTCGAGCGGGATTTTCCATCTCCCAGTATTTTGCTCTGCAGTTCTTCCGCTCGAGCGGTAGTTTTTACGCTCGAGCGTGATCCCTTGTTTTGTTCCTCCGCTCGAGCGGGGAGTTTGACGCTCGAGCGGGTGCAGCGCCTGCAAAACTTCTGAAAGGGTGCAATCGACGCTCGAGCGGCTTTCTTCACGCTCGAGCATGATTCTGTGTCTTACGCTCGAGCGGGGCTTTCTACGCTCGAGCGTAGAGTCGACTACATCAGTCCGTGATTTCACTTTTCTGATCACTTTTTGACCTACTTTTCATCTCTTAACTTTTAAAAACCACCCCTTGAGAGTCTCTCTCTCTACTCTTACCTTCTCTCCAAGATTTGATCTATTTCCGGTGGTCTTCTACCCTAGTTCCTTTGGAAGAAAGGTAGAGCTTCACGAGATCTTTCTTTTAATCTGAAAAAGAGAGGATTTGGAGCACTTTGGATTTTGGATCATCATCTCCATCTTCTCTATTTTAGTTGTGATCTTCAAGGTAGGGATTTCCTACTCCAAAATTATAAGTTTTGTTCTAAGTTTTAGTATAATGATATGTTGGGGTTACTTTGATAATTTTGGGAGAAACCCTAGTTGTGTTAATTAATTAATTTGTATAATTAATTTAAGGAAATTGGGGAAATTGGTTAAAAGCATGAAATTGAGGAATTCATTGATTAAATGGTGTGGTGGGATAATTTAAACCACTCGCCTAGTGAATTGTTGTTATATTTATTTCCAGTCTAGAAATAACTATTTTGGGCTATCGGTGGAGGATAGTCATGATTGTTGTAGACATTGCACGTGGATTAGGAATAACTGAAACTAATCACACTGGTTAAGTCATTAATTTGACTATTGAATTAATACTGAAAATACGTGTATTGGTTGAGCATTGCATTTGCATACATTGTTTTGTGTGGGAGGAGATAGGGGATGTACTCCACGGTTGAGGGGAAGATAGGGTATGGACCTCTAAACCGGATTTTGTTTGGGAGGAGATAGGGGATGAACTCCATTAGCAACACTTTTATGTGTGCTGATTATATTGAAGTGTTTTTACATGATTATTGATACAACACTAAAATGTGTATCAAATGGGAAGTATGAAGTGTTTTGATATGGGCCTGAGTCCCATTTGTTTGTTGATGTTAGAAGTAATGTGGATATAACATATATAGTTCACTGTTGCAAGTTTGGCCAGGTTCTGAGCCAGATTGATAATGTTGGAAAGTAAAACGTGTTTTAGACATTAGTGTCATGAGACTGGATAGTAATGTAATTGATTATCTTGGTTAACCATCTATTGAATGCTATAGCTTTAATCAATGCTTATATTTGGTTTAGTATATTTCTACTGGGCTGTGGCTCACCCTATATGGGAACATCATTTTCAGGTTCAGGTGATAATATTGGCTTTGTCTTAATATGCTAAAACTCTGATTTTGGTTGCTTAATTCATGCCATGTTCGATTTTGCTAAGTGTAGTTCAATACACCTTTGGCTCGTTTTGTGGTTGTTTTCGTTGACGACATCCTTATCTATTCATCTTCAGAGGAGGAGCACAAGGAACACTTGAGAGTGGTGCTTGATTTACTTAGAGCCCATCAGCTTTATGCTAAGTTTGGGAAGTGTGAGTTCTGGCTAGAAAAGGTGAAGTTCTTAGGCCATGTGGTTTCTGGGGAAGGGGTGTCTGTTGATACATCCAAGACGGAGGCAGTGCAAGATTGGGCACAGCCTAAGAGTGTATATAAGATCCGCAGTTTTCTGGGATTAGCTGGGTATTATCGTCGGTTTGTAAAGGATTTCTCCAGGTTAGCTTCGCCTTTGACTAGATTGACTCGGAAGGGAGTCAAATTTGTTTGGAGTGAGACTTGTGAAAAGTCGTTCCAGGAGTTGAAAGTTAGACTGACCACCGCTCCAGTCTTGATTATTCCGGAGAGAGGGTTGGGTTATGCAGTCTATTGTGACGCCTCACGAGAGGGTCTGGGTTGTGTGTTGATGCAAGAGGGGAAAGTGGTTGCCTATGGCTCACACCAGTTGAAAATTCACGAGAAAAATTACCCTACGCATGATTTAGAGTTAGCAGCTGTGATATTTGCCTTGAAGATTTGGAGGCATTATCTTTACGGTGAAAGGTTCGAGGTATTCTCGGATCATAAGAGTCTGAAATATCTGTTCACACAGAAAGACTTAAATTTGAGGTAGAGGAGGTGGATGGAGTTCATTGAGGATTATGACTTCGAATTGCATTATCATCCGGGGAAGGCCAACGTCGTAGCCGATGCCCTTAGCAGGAAACCTGTTGGTGACATAGCTAGTATAGCCATTCGGGAGTGGAAGATGTTGGGTACACTTGGGGAGTTTGATTTGCTTTTGAGCGAATCCGTTGAGGCTGCGGCCTTGTTTTCTGTTGTTGCGCAGCCTACACTTGTGACTCGTGTGTTGGAGGCTCAGAGGGGTGACCTTGAGATAGAATCCCTCCGAGAGAAGATTTCCAGTGGGAAGGTCGAAAAGGGTTTGACGGCGTATCCCGACCTGAGTGTGAGATACCGATACCGTCTATTTGTGCCGGAGTCTTGCCGAGAGGAGGTACTCCGCGAGTTCCATCATTCACGCCTTGCGGTGCATCCGGGAGGTACTAAGATGTATAGGGATTTAGGTCGCCAGTTTTGGTGGCGGGGTATGAAGAGAGATGTGGCAACTTTCGTGTCTAAGTGCCTTACTTGTCAGCAAGTGAAGGCCGAGCATCAGAGGCCAGCAGGTTTGTTGCAACCCTTGCCTATTGCCGAGTGGAAGTGGGAGCATGTCACTATGGACTTTGTTGTAGGTCTTCCGAGGACTCAGCGAGGTAGTGACGCTATTTGGGTGGTTGTAGACCGGTTGACTAAGTCGGCGCATTTCATTTCTATGCGTGTGAGAGATTCAGTAGATCATCTTGCCGACTTGTATATTCGGGACATAGTGAGGTTGCACGAAATTCCGGTGACGATCGTCTCCGATAGAGATCCTCGTTTTACTGCTAGATTGTGGCAGAGCTTGCAGAGTGCCTTAGGCACTAAGTTGACCTTTAGCACAGCTTATCATCCTCAGACTGATGGGAAGTCCGAGCGTACTATTCAGATCCTTGAGGATAT